CTTTCCCTTTCTCTCTCTGTCTCTCCTTCTCTCGCTATTTTCCCTTATCCTCCTAATCGTTCTTCATTCGATGCTTTTTTCAAGCTTTCAAGAGACAGAACGTCGCAGGCTGACGCTTTTCCCGTACGCTCCGATCGGACTCGTCGCGAGCGCGGGAGAAGAAGACGGCTCGCCGTTTTAAGCGAGTTGCTTCCCTCGCGGCTGTCACGCGCGTCACCGCATTCCTTTCCTTCCTTCCTGCCTTCCTTCCTTGCTCGCTTACCTCGCGTCCCGCCGGTGAACGCCGTTTTACGTGCGGTTGAGTTTGCGTTTTGTGCGAGCGAGCTCTTTGTGTTCCGTGAATCCCTCGTTTTTGCCCAGTGTCCTTTTGTTGATTTTTGAGGATTTTTCAACGGCCTGCCTACGAGAGTCCAGAGAGCGCTTTTGAATGCCGATAGGATCATTTCCAGTGAGTCGTATACATGTAATTTATTAGTGCCTTGTTTTCGCGCGATCATAGTCATGAATTACTTTTTTTTTAAATTAAAATCAACGAGTTGATTATGCGAGTATGAGATTGATGACATAAAAAAATCTACGGTGCGTTTCGAGCAGGCAATTAGATCCTCGCTGCTTTACGTCGCGTTTTGATTTATTGCTTATGAAACAGTTTACCGACGTACAGATTTTGGATTTCAAGGCGATTACAGAGAGCACCAGGTGGTATCGCTCGTTTAAGGGCGCGCGATTAGCAAAATGGAGCAACGTACCGCATGTGAACGCAATAATATTTGACGCGTTAATTGTTGCGTTAATTATACTGGATGAATTATATTTTAATTCTTTTACCGTTCTTTTATAACACTTTCTTATTAGTCTCTTTTTGTATTATCGTTGGAAAATTATAATTTCTTCGTGCGCGTGGCGATCGATATCGGACTTGATAAAATATATGTAAACTTTCTTGTAATTTCTGCTGCAATGTATTTTTATAGCTCGTTCATATTCTTTCCACTGTTATATAAAAAACGTAAAAAAAACATGATATTGTGACAAAGAAAGCATCGGAACAAGTTTTAATATATTTATGAATATTGTATATGTATAAGTATCGAGAATCAGCTCGAATACAATGTCCAATACAATAGCAAATTAAAGTAAAAACGAAGGAATAAAGTAACTTCATTTTCTTGCTGATAAACGAGAAGAAATGAATGCGACTTGTCAAAGACTCCGCAAAATACAACAGCATTGTCAATACAGCTTTTCAACATGCGTTTCTCACGCATAGGAAAATGCGCATTCTCGAGGCGGACGGAATATCGCCTTGTATAAACTCGCAATCTCATTAAAAATGAATTTAAATCATTTAAAATAAATAGCAACGAATGTCAGGTATTTAATTTTTCTTAAAAAGATCATAAAACATTTTTGCAAGATTTCTGATACGGAGGTGTGCTCCGAAATTGGCCGCTATCGATATTCCGCGTGAAGTGACGTTCGCGGTCGTGCAATTTTATTTTTCGGTTATCTTCAGGCCGGGTCGTCCCAGGTCGCCCCAAAAACACCAAGCGTGGATTTTGGAAGGAAACGCCGCGGCGCCGCCGGAGCGTCTGCTCGCGCGACGAAAGCGTATGGAAAAGTACGTCGCGATAAACCGCGAAGATAGACGCCGGGATAAAAATTGCCGAGACTGTCAAGGGTCGCGGGAATGCAACGGACGATTGATAGTCGTACCTCGGTGTTATCACCATCGTAAATTCCCGCACAGCGTTCGGTTTACGCGTCCGCTCGTGATATTTTTCGCCGCGGTATCGTCGAAATAGAAAAATGTTTACGTCACGGGCAGAAAGAAGCGTGATCAATATCGGGGGTGTCTAATTCCAATAATTCTCGCGAGATGTGTTTTGCAGGAGATGTTATTTTTTGTCGCGACCGTATAATGTACATATATATCCTCAAAATGAAAATACATCGCGAAACTATCACATTTGTTAGCCAAATATTATGCGTTTCCACAATGTTGAACTTTACCGTCATAACTTTACTATTATGGAGCACGGTTGTTTAACGAGTTTAAGGGAGCTTAACTCCTGCTATACTCCGTGCGAATATTTTTCGAATTAATCGATTCTCCTTCGCTATCCTAACGAGATTTCTTACGTCGTAAAATTTATCCGTTACCTTTAGATTTGATTCTGTTTAGTACCGCGATACTGCGAATATGTACGATATAACAAACACGAGTACAGTTAACGTGACACGCGAATGCGTAATTTGTCTTACAATGAGACTTTGGAGCAACGAGAGCACGACGACACGTTGCCATTTCACCCCGAGACGACGCAATGTCACGAATCGCGAGCTTTGCACGCTTTCTTCCTCGAAGGTTCAATGAACTTCAGTTTCGTTTAATGTAGCTCAATCCTGGGGAAGAATAATTTTCTCTCCTAGAAACGTATGTCATTAAACGAAAAGAATAATCAAGGAAATTGCAGGAATTACAAATGTACAAAGGGAGTGATCCATTAACTTGGAAATAGTTACCTATTTTTACATTCTAGCGACGAAAAAAGATGCGAATTGTAAAATATTGTTTTGCATGATTATTGTTCAACATATTTTTTCTTTTTTAATAACTTTTATTCTTTATAAACCTTAAATATGCATCGAAAATTCGCAACAAAAAAACGTTATATTAAAATTAAAATCTGTATTTTTTTAGAAATACTATCATAAATGAGCTACACGGTAAAAAAACATGTATTTGTGCTGGAAATGGTCCACCCACTTTTTCAACAGTTTGTGTTGAATTTTTTAACATATTTGAGTGTTAATTTAACATAATGTGATTATGTTATTTAAAGATGTTGTGTTATAAATTGATATTCAATATTTCTTATAGTATTAAAATGACACAATTTATGAGTAAGTGAATAAGTAACAATAATGTGTTTTAAAACATAAATTCGAAAATGAATGAATGAAATACTTGTTAATTTAACATATCATAAATATTAATTATACTAAATAAATATACTTCCATAGTTTGTTTACAAGCTGTGTCAACGTTACCTTTTTGTGATTATTTTTTTTACACAATATCTTGTTTTCCAACATATTCATCTTATGTTAAATGAACACAAAAATTTGAATGGACCGTTTGGGATATGTGGAATGTGTTATATTCGACACAAATTTTCCAACAATGTAGTTTAATATTTGTTTCGTTTCTATAAAAATTTGTGTTAAATTTAACACAATCACATATTCCAAACAGTGCACTAACTTTTGAAATTTTTGTGTTAATTTAACAAGATGAGTATGTTAGAGAGTAACACAAATATTTAAAAAAATTAACATAAGAAAGTGTTAATGATATAATTTGTAAGCAAATTGTGGAAGCATATTCTTTTAATAAAATTAGCATCTATGATATGTTAAATTAACGGGTATTTTATCATTTATCTTGAAATTTTTATGTTTTAAAATATATTATTTTTATATGTTATTTGAATACTTACTCATAAATTGTGTTATTTTGACACTAAAAAAATATCAATTGAATATCAATTGAACATAAAATACTTCAATAACATGATCACACATTATATGCTAAATACATCCGAGTATGTCAAAAATTCAATACAAAATTTTAACAAAGACTTAAGTTTCCAACACAAATATTTTTTTTTGTTATGTACTTCTTTTCTTCAAAAAATTTTAAAATCCATATCCATAATGTTCTCAAATATTAATAAATTGGAAAACAGTCAATAATATAAAATATATTGTTAATAATAATGATTTTATTTAAGAAGTAAAAACATCCCAGGAGATCGATTATGTAAAAAAAAATTAGGTGACTCTCAGACTAAAAATAGAGTCTCGTTCTTTCAATAGCGAACGCGAAGTAGCGTTACGGCGAATTCGCGCCACAGGAGGGACGAAAATCTTGCCGTGGGTATATACTTCCGCCACAGCCCTCTTTCTATGTAAATATTTACGTTTATGTAGGGGCTTTACGATATGTAACCTATGTATAAGGCCAATAGACGCTCGATCTGTAGACCATGCAGGAAATAGACTTTAGTAAAAGGCTCAGATTTTCCGAAGAGCATTCGCGAAATCAGATCGTAGGGGATTACAAATATCGGGTAACTCTACGCAAATTCCTTTGTATCTCTGACTTGTATTACTGTTCCACCCATGATTCATACTACGTTGTTGCACAAAAGCAGCGGGGACTTTCCAGTTTGGAATTTTAAACGTATGCTACGAGGATTTTATCGTACACTCCAATGTGTGTGCGATTCGTGCACCGTCAGATTAGAAATTAAGCTTATTACAATCAACTGAGGAGATTAATACCAGGATTTAATACCAGGATTAAATGAAGTCTTCATTTCTTGCGTTCGTATTCACGCGATTCTTTATTGCTATACGAGAAGAACGATACATTTTGTTGAAATATTTAAAATATAAAAAATTTAGATAAATACACATCTGAAAATAACGTTGTTAGACTATCAAAATAATGTAGGAAATTCAAGCATAATGAGCAGTGTCGCAAAAAGTTTTAACTAGTAACGAGTTCGCATCTTGTAATTATTTTTATAGCCCAACAAAATTATTTTCAGATTTATATCTAGCTCAATTTTTAAATATTTTAGCAAAATCGTTCTTTTCATATAGAACAAATTATAGAATCTTAGCGTTCGCCGTTCAACTTCTCGGCCAAGAGGTTATCGCAACTTCCATTTCTTATCTTGCAACCTATGTTGATCTCATTAGCAGAGAGTAAAATCAACGTGTGACGTAACGCACGAAACAGCAGTGCAACGGGTCGGACATTTTTTTGCCGCATGTCAGAGCAAGAAGGGATTCAAACGCGAGAGGGCGGAAATCTTTCCTGCCCATGCGACCGTATATCATTTCGGTTCTGCCACGTATATAAATCCGGTTATATAACGGCTCGTTTGCGTCCGTGTAAAGTGTAAAGGATAGGTCATATAAAAAATATTTTTTCGGGTTTTCCGACATGAAAAAAGGTAGTCTGTCTGACGGATGCTGGATGAGAACGCCAGAGAAGCAAGAAAGAATCAGCTGAATGGCCATTTTTAAGCCTGAAAAATACATGCATTTTATATATGTATAAAAAATGTTTTATCGATTACATTTTTTCATCGTGGTAGATAAATTGTAACATAATTAAAGGAATTAACTGTTAATATATTTACATTTTAATTTAAGGATTATATCTCTTATTTTAATCAATACGTTATAGAATCTTTTCTTATTTTTAATCAATAGGTTAGAATTATTTTCTGTAAAAGACGTGCGATTAACTCTTAATCAATATTCTTGAGTTCAGTCGACCCGGACACTTCAGCTACTTTGGGAAAAATTGTTCACAACAAATGTTTTTCATAAATTTACGTAATTTTAAATTACATAACATTCCTCAGA